TATAACTTACTGTGCATACAATATTTCAAACTTTATAAAATATATCCTTTTTTTGTATTTAATTTGTACAAAAATGTTTATTCATAGACAATGTTATTATTAAATAAATGTTAAACCTCGAGGAATTTTTAAAAGTTCGTCTTTTTKAATAGAAAACAATAACACAGATAATTTTTTTTGTATTACAACCAAATACACAGTAGGTACACAGCTGATATTGCTGGGCATAGTTTACAACTTTTCAACGACTTACTGATTTAAATAAAATAATGTGTACAATATTACTAAGTTTTTATTATTAAGTTATTAATAACATATTAAATTATTSTAATACCTAGAATATTAAGTTCATAACTAACATAACCTCTATAAGTATTAAGTATAACCTGTAGCGATTGTGAGTAACAATTGAACTAAATCTCAAAATTCGCYGCAGAAAACGGAAAGTTTATGGATAATCTATAAACTTTGGAATACTACCACCACAGCTTAAGATATACATATATATATTTATATATAATAATTTTACATACCTTATACCATATCCTTAACCGCGGCTTAAACCAATTGTTTTATAGTTAAACCATTCCGTAAACACAGATAATATAATAATATCTATATCTAAGGCTATAAACTCGGTTTTGGTCACGGTATAAGATATATTATCTTAAATCGTGGTATAAACATAACATTAAAATTATTTTTTGAGGTTAGCTTCTATTCAACCATACGAATACGGTATTTGACATTCTGACGACATTTTGATTTCTGATTGTCGGTTTTTTGTTTTGATTTGTATTTTGTTTACAAATTGAAGTCTTAATTATCTATTTTCCTGAAGTGTAATTATTTAAATTTTCAAAACTAATTTTATTTTTAATTTAAGCTTTTTATTTATTAAGTTGTTTATTGAATATTTATCTGTGACACAAATTCTATACAATGTAAGTAAATGCACTTAAAAATAATAGTGTTAATTGATCTTGGATATTGAGATCGAATCTTATGATTTAAGTATATTACAATATTGATATTAGTATGTACCAATATGTATTAATAATAAATAAATTACATGTAATAAGTTTTATAACTTTACACTTATTCGACATCATATAATTATTCAGTATACATAATAATGATTACTTCAGAACATATTATATACTTACCTCATATTATAAACTTAATATAAATTAATTATTGAATTGAATAGTGATTTTGATTGACACTCAAACATTTATTTATGGGTATTAATACATTTCTTGTTTTCATTATTTATTAACTTAATTTTTTATTTGACTTACTGTAACATAGGTACTTAGTATGTTTAACAATAAGCTTATTTTATAAATTTATAATACCTATTAAATATGGTTTTAATTAAAAGATATAATTTTATATTTACTATTTAAGTACCAAGTATATATTATGTTTTGATTGTCCTTAAAATTTGTACTCATTTACTAATAACTTTTAATAATGTTTATAGTATTGGTGTACATAAATGTTTTATTGGCAATAATTAATTTGTAAATGGAACCAAAATTTGTTTAAATTATATACTTATGATTTTACATCAATGTAAATAACAGCTTTACTACTTATCTYTTATGACTTCATTAATGTTATGTATGTAGGGCTGCAGTAGCAAATAAACCAAAATCTGAAATGACTCCCGAAGAGTTAGCTAAACGTGAGGAAGAAGAATTTACTACAGGTCCTATGTCTGTCCTGACTCAATCTGTTCGTAACAATACTCAAGTACTGATCAATTGTCGTAATAACAGAAAACTTTTGGCAAGAATCAAAGCTTTTGATCGACATTGTAATATGGTATTAGAAAATGTACGAGAAATGTGGACTGAATTACCTAAGACTGGAAAGGGCAAGAAGAAGGTACATTTAAATAGTATTACAGTATTTTTAATCATTATATTGCATGTTTAGGTAGCGAATGAGATAAGAAATGTAAATAGTTATTGTTATATTAACTTTTGCAATTTAAAACCGCTCTTTAAATATTGATTATTGTTTTAGGCAAAAGCAGTTAGTCGAGACAAATATATTTCAAAAATGTTTCTACGTGGTGATTCAGTTATTTTAGTTGTCAAGAACCCTAAAGAAGCTGTTCGTCAACAACCCCCAGCTCCTTGAAATATATATTCCACTTTGTAAGAATTAGATTTAAGCAAATTTCCATAAAATATGTATATATTGATTATTTTACTTCATTGTAATATAAATTTAAAAAAACTATATTAAATACTTCTTATTTATTATGGTCTACTATATTATGGTGTATTCTGTTAAGGTTAAGTGAACCCACTTATCCAACAAAAACTAGTCATGACCATGCAACCGATCTCATATAACTTGGCATTAACCAGAGGATCTGACCGTTTCAGCAACTCACTATGCATGCTCGTAGGTAGATCAGCTAAACCTGAACAGACTATTAAATATCTTATAATACTACTGAATATCTATGTTATTCAAATACATAATATTTTAAATTATGTTAGAAAAATAAATTTTAAATCAACATACATGTTTTTTAGTTGACAATATTTTAAACTTGTCTAGTAGACATTTGTATAAAAATATTCAATTACTTTAATACTCTCATAAAACATTTTCAGTGTAAATTCAGTACAAATTTATATCTAATACTGCCTATTTTATTATAAAATAATTAATTAAGGCTTGTTTCGAAGCTAAATTATCATTTATTTAGGTAAAAATTAAAATTATATCATTAAAATGTAGGTACTTTTTAACTTCTTAAGTAATTTTAACAATAATTTCTGGACTGCAATTTTCTACTATAATATTATAGTAGTTATTATAAATTATTTCATAAGTAATAAATTAAAAACCTAGGACAAAAAAATTTTCATTTTAACAAGTTAGTATTTTGACTACAATTGTTGCTAAATGCTGAATACAGAATGTTGGTGTATTTGGTTCACTTTCTTTTTGAACCTTAAAATGCTATGATTTTGCAACCCGTTGAAAAATATTTTATCAGGTAGATTGTTTTGCCAATTAAGGGCCATTCTTACAATGCTCGGTTAGTGCCTGATAACACTAACCGKAAGAATTTATCATGAGTTAACCGATAGAATTCTACCGGTTAGTCTTAACCGACACTTAACCGGACATTGTAAGAACGGCCTTTAGTTAGCAATTGATACTATTTAGTGCCAGGTGTTGATAAAAAAATTAGTTTTAAAAAATCAAGTGATGTTTTCAACATAAACTGTTCAAGGAAGCAATAGATTAGTAGAATACTTCATGAGCTCATAAGCAAAAGAATAATTCACTCATTAAAGTGTTATTGTTATTTTCTTTAAATGAATAACAGAAAATGTGTTTAGCACAGTTGATGATAGCATGTTATAATGTATTAGATAGATCCTTGGTTAGCATTTTATTTAAATTTTAACCCTAATGTCTAAAGGATAGTGGTGTATGCACTATGCAGAGGTAGGGTTCTAGGGTTTTAAACTCCTTTCCCCTGAAATGACTTCCTTCAATGTTTTTTTTAAATTGATTCTTTTTAGGCTTATTATAATAAAATTCAAAAAAATTTCTGGTATTATGGATTTATATATAAACACAACAGAAAGCTATATTATTTGTTAAATAATATGTGTACTGTGTTTGGTTTTTTGAACAAACAACCAGCTGACTCAACATTATCTACTAGAGTAATAATTAGTTTAGTTACTCTATCATGTACTACGTTTATATGATTGTGTTAAAACGGTTTTAAATTTTTAAACTACATAGTGTGAACGTTTTAACTTTTAAAGCGGTTTTAATGCCATAAAATAAATGTAATAAGTTGTAAATTGTTTAAAAATTGTAAACCGTTTTAAAAGTTAAAATACTTGCACTATGTAGTTTAAGAATGTAAAACCGATTTAATTTCAAGCTGTTTTAATGCCATAATATAAACATAGTAATGGTTTACACTTTACTCCATTGACAGTAGACAGTAGAMCTACTATTAAAGTATTAAAAGATTTTTGTTATTAGGTCTAAATGGTTTGTTTTGCTTATCACCACACCATATTCAACTATAGAAATTATAATATTTAATATTTATTAAATGTTTGATTAGATATAGTATATTTTTATTGATAATAAATGTTAGCCCCCCCCCTCAGGTCTTTGATATATAGTGAAAAATCCTGTGAACACTACTGTTAAAGGTGCTCAAGTTAATATCCTATCAAAAAAACAACCACCGAGATTATTAATTGGACAAAAAGTTTGAAAATACAAGATATTTTATTAAATTTTCATATGTAATTATATTTTATATAAAATGTAATTAATTGCCTTAAACAATATTAATATAATTGAATATTTGAATACTTTTCCTTGTACTCATTATATAAAATAATGGTAAATTTAATTTATTATTATTTTAGAGTGATTGATGCATATATTGAGTAGTACTTTTAAAAATTTAACTTATTCAAATAGCGACTATTATTAATTATTATTATGGAAAAATTGTTGTTTGTATTGATTACTTTATATAAACTGTGTGTAGTATTTGCCAGTTTATATTTTTTCTTTTATACATTTTGAACTTAATTTGTATTGACCATTATTTTAAATTTCTATATAGATCTATAATATCTGTTAACTGTAGATAAGTAAAGGAATAGGAAGTAATCTAATAATATAACATATTTATATTGTATAAAATAAATATTAATTACATTTTTTTAATGAATATTAATCATAAACCTATATCTATAATCTTTTACCTTTTACCTACTTATTAGCCTACTACTAATATATTATATAGGTATTAAATATTAATGAACATGACATAGAATGTTTTGTTTTTTTCGGACTCTTTGTCTAAATTTTTTTCAAAACGTATTTTTTATCCCCTTTCGTTTGGATTTCAAAGAATTAAACTCAGTCATGAGTCAAAATGCGGCATTAACGTAAACCAAAATGCTAAATAATGTGTTTGGTGTGTTGTGTGTGAATCGTATACATCACAACATAAGGAGCATAATATATTTTAAGAATAAAAAAAATCGGTACTACATTTTGTGGTACTAGCAAAAAATTAACTAATACATTTATCAATTGAATACAAAAAATAGGCGATGCACTGCTGATTTCAGTTTTTTATGTGCTGTTGTACTTTTTTTAGCTATTTAGTAATATCCGTAATATCGTAATTTGTTGTATTATTAATTACAGTAGTAAACATTCAATGTTTTGGTCATTGACTTGTGGTCTGCGATGCTATCAATTATTAGTTATTATCAGTTTTTTCATTTAACATTGATAAGGTTAACGATTTTTTTGTACATATACAAAAACGCGATATGAATTTGGTACGAGGAGTAAGAACACTAAGAACAAAAGTCAATACTTAATCGCTATGAATTCTCATTTATTCAGTCTTCCTATTTTGTACGACAAAATAATTTAAAATTTAATTTTACAAATAGTATAATATTCCCATAAAAGAATAATACATGTAACCAAAAAAAGACTAAACATAGACTGTATATAAAAAAAGTTCATCTAGTCATCATAAATGTAATATTTTTGTTAGGTATTTATTATATTTTAAATCTCGAGAATCCGATGAAAACAATTGCTGACGTAGGTTAGTTGCATTACTGTAAACAATATGGCAAGTAATTACAGTCAAGATGGTCAAATTCCAATCCCACCTCGCAGAACGCGCTCGAGTACTTCAGATAAAGTAATGACAGTCATAGTTAATTTGTCAGGTATGCTTGAGTATTCATTTTTCCATTAGCTAACATGTAACATTTTTTAAGGTTCCCTATGTGGTTGATGTGGTGGCTGAGAGATGTATTGTGCCAGCTATGGAAAGAATGTCACGAAGGGAGCCCAATATGGGAGAAAGTATATCACCTTTAGATCGCTTAAGAAACAGTATGGATAGTTTATTTTTTGTAGTTAGAAACGTGACATCTACCTATATTTTTTTTTTAAATTACAGATGTAGACATGTCAGAAAATGTTGCTAGAATGGCATCACATCTCAAACAGTTGGAGAAAAAAAGAGATGAACTACAAAGACAATGCACAGCCATTGAGACTATGAATAGGCAAAGTGAAGTGAATCGATTAATTGATAAAAATAAAGAACTGAAACAAGACGTTTTTGTATTAAAAAATCTAACTTATAGGTATGGTAAAAATTAACATTTTAACTTAAAAATTGTATACAAATATTAAGAATAAAGTTTTTTTTTAGACTAAATAGAGAACTGGAAAAATGTCAAGATAAACTGCTATCAAAAGATCAATTTCCAGAGTCTGAAGGTTACATGCGAGTACAAGGTATCTTTAAAGTTTTATCAATTTATTATTTATTGCACAATTGCACAATATAATTAAATATTAGTTATTTTAGATATATTTTTTTGCTGAAATCATATGACTTGATAAATACATGTTAAATATTTTTCTAGAAATCTTAAAATTAATTACACTTAGGACAGGGCTGTTATTATAATTTCCAGTTAAATTTAATTTAACTAAAAGTTTAGCTAGCAGATGACTTAGCATTGCGAAGACTTTAGCAGGAAGTTTAAATTAGACCATTATTACAGTTTTTCTGTAAGTGGCACTGTGGCAGTAAGATAATTGTAAGCAGTGCAATGCTCTTCTTTAGTTCATAAGAATCAGCTGTTGTAGGTGCTAATAATTTAACATGATTAACTTTAAAATTTGAATATTATGTGTTTAATTATTTGAATTCAATGATAAATCGATCAATTATTGCATACAAAAAAAGATTCTGTGCAGTAATGACAGTCTCTATTTCTAAGGTTAGATTAGGGATTATTACCTAAGGAAATATTATATTTTATTATTTATTTATATTTTTAGGCAATAATTTTTTTTATAAAACATTTTTTTTTAAATTTTACCTATGAAACAAACAATATCTAACATAAATTAAATTGAAAAAAAAAATTGAAAATTGAAAATGCCTATAGATGGCTTAAAAACAGCTGAACTAATTTAATATTACACATACCTATCATTAATACCTTAATATATATTATATATTTATATGTTTAAAATTGTTATGGCCTAAGATCTCTAGGTACTGTTTTTAATTTTGTAGTTATTATTTTGAAAATTATTAGCAATTTTTTAATCTTTACTTTTACCTATAATAAATAACTGACTGGTAACTAGACACAATTTGCTACCACAAACCACTATTGGCCCCATGTGGAATATTGAAGCATTTTTACTGCTCCTARAGACGTAAAATATAAAAAAAAAACTTTGTTATTGTAAAATTATTACATTCATCACTCAGCTTAGATCTAATTTTTATATTCCAGTCTGTCTAGATATATATGTTGTACAATTTTTCATTTATTTGAGGTGTATTTATAGGTATTGTATTTAATTATTTTTTTATCTTTAAAAATTTCTAAATGGTTCAGAAAATGTATCTTCTGGTGATTTAATTCTAACATGTGCAATTAATTGCACTGAATACTAATGAAAATTGGGCAATCTTGAACATTTTCATTTTTATTTTAACAGTACCTTGTAAAGAAATTYAAAAAAAAATGAACCACTCATTCCTGCAATAGCATAAGAAACATTTTTTATGATTCTGCTTACCGAAGATACACTTACACTAAACATATCTGCCACTGATATAAGCGTAGTATAAGTAGTATCTGATTCAATGGAGCTAATGCCTTATTCCCAAAAACAAAATATTTCATAGGCATAACTGTATTAGGCTTTCAGGTTATTAGCCATTATTAGGCAGGCATATTCAATACAAACAGTTGGATACAAACAATGAATATTGATAGTATTTATCTGTCAGTAGCTGTTTCCAATTTTTCTGCAAGTAAATTTAACAGGTAATTAACATAATTTTTTGAAAGACCAAATCTATAGATAAATTCGTCATCTGTTAATATATTGAATAATAGTTTTCCCTATCTTTGTACACTTGAGGTTTTTTTCGGCCAATATTATTTACATCATTAATAAATTCAATACAATTATTTATATTATCCATTTTAAGTTAAGTTATTATCAAAAATATAAAATAAATGCACAGTATAATTTATAATTAAAATTATGTTGCAGAAAAAATCTAACTGGTGATACAAAATTATTACAATAAAGAATTAGCAAAGTTCAAAATTATAAATATTAGGTACCTATTATATAGCTACATCTATATCTATATGTAACTCTATGGATTCTTTCCGCTTGTTACATTAACATGCACTTAAACTTCTCACTAAATGAAGTGACTGCTAACTCATATTTAGTTGTTGCATTTTACGTAGAGGAACATTGTAATATAGGCGTTTAAAAAAATGTCTGCTACGTTAGCATAAACCTTAGTAGGACATTGTAATAACGGCCCTTACAGTGTTTACTTAATAGTTTTTAAATAATAACTGTTACAATAAAAAAGCATTTTTAAAATTATCTCATAACATGTATTATTTTCTGTGTTGATACATGGTTAGGCATTAGATAAAAACTAAACCAAGTTGGGCATATTTAAGTGAATATCAACAATATGTTTACAATATGTAAATATTAAAAGATTTCAAATGGTTTTCAAAGATAATGTAGAAGGTTATTTAACTCATATTAATTAGCAATCATTTGAATAATGTTTTGGGGGACTAAAAATAATTCAGGAATCAGAATATTGTGTATTATTATTTTAAAATGTTTGGTAGCAAGTGGTAGTAGTACTTTATGTCCAATCACTTTGATGAATTCAATCAAATAATAGTTATATTTGTAAAATACCAAGTAGACAGGAATATAGGGTACATAATAATAAAAACTTACTTGATAAATGTATTAAAATTTGATATATTTTTTTTAACCAATTGTATTAATGGCTGTAATTAATTTTCTAAAATTAAATAATTATTGAAACTGGAGCCATTTTAGTTTTTTTTTTAGAGATGGTACGAACTATAATATTTAATGTCTAACAGAACTTTTCATTTGAGAATTAATGAGTAAGCAACAAAAGTATATTTTTTGATTGATTTTCTAGCACAGGTAGAAAAAGATTTTTTGAGATACATTTTTGAAAGGTGTGAAGTTTACCATGGGCGTCCCCAGACATTTTTCTAGGGGGGGGGGCAAAATTAATTAAAAAAAATTAATGAAATTTTTTTTATACATTTTGTTTATAGTAATAATAATAATAATAATAATAATAATAATTTATTGGCCATACATAATTATATAACAGTAGTTTAAACAATATTGTCGAGTATAATGGCGTATTATTCTCTTCCAGCTATATGTGTCTAAATGGACAACCATTATCCGATTTTAAATCATTTTTAAAATTATATGAAGTAGGTGGTACCCATGGATTACACAAAATATCAAACTTTAAAGCATCGTTAATATTTACATTTGTCAAGTAATGTCCTATATCATTTTTATAATAAGCCACTTCCTTGTCATCAACATTTTCAATGTGGTCAGTAAAACTACCACCTTTATTCAAATCAGTAATATCAACTGTACTTGTGGAATTAGTGTCTATWGTTAAACTTTTTGTTTTATCTAACGGTCCATTAGGACTATCGTCTAATTTAGGTTTCTTAAAAAAGTTCCATATGTCCATAATTAATATTATAAAAAGATTTTACCTTGTTGTGATTTTAATATTTTATTGCTGCTAGAATACGATGACAGTCTTTCGATCGAAAGCTGCGTTGGAAATTATGGGAGTATCCACACGCCGCGTATAATAATAATAATAGGTATATTTTCACGTAAGCAACACAATGTAACAGCAAACGGCTAATAATTTATTGTCATGTGAGCAACCAAAAAATACGATAAGATAAAATAATCTGATTATTATTAATGATAGTTTTCATGGATAGTTGTACGTTGACATATTATAGCAACATAGGTAAACCTATTTTTAGAAGCTAATTTCTTAATAGGAATTTTACCAATTACTGTGGGAATAACATTTTTCCAGGAGGGGGAGCAAGTGCCCCGTCTTGCCCCCCCTTGGGGACACCCACGAAGTTTACCCATCTCTGATTGTATGGTGGAATGGTACTAATAAAATCATTGCATTTTACTCCCTGTARAGCACATCACTTTCCTCCATTTGGATATTCACATTAATTTTTATTTAATATTTTCATTTTGCTTTTACAGCAAAATGTTGTTGCTACCTATTTATTATGAAAAAAATAAAAATATTTTTATGTTTTATTTAGATCCCAAAAATATAAGCTGGCGCAGGGAAGATATTAATGCAGTATCGCCGTTATTAGAAGCATACCAAACATCTTTAGAAGAAAAAGATGTTACTATTGAAAGCTACAAAAACGAACTTGCTCGATTTTCTTCTAGAAGTAGAGAAATTGCTGCTGAAAATGAAAGTCTTTATCAACAGCTTGAAGAAGCAAATGAAAAAGTACTAGTTTAATTAATGAATATAATCATTTTTATTTTAACTTGATCATCTTTAAAGATCGAAGTTACGTATGGAGAATGGAAATCAGTGGAGTCCGAAGTAGCAATGCTAAAAGAACATAATGAGTTATTGGTCAGGCAAGCCAAATTACATCAAGCAAAGTTACAAGATTTACTTCGTTCATACCAATCAAGAGGTAAACTTGGATTTAATGTATTCATTTTTAAATTTTATACATCAAACTTTATAAGTTTTGCTCAAGTAACTTTTTTAAATTAAAACTAATAAAAAGGGAGGTTAAGTGACCTAACTAATTTAAGTCTGTATACCACTGTAAATAACATGGGTGACTTCAAGTATGCGGAGAGAGGATTCTGGACCAAACACTGTTTTTGTAGTTAMATTGTAATTTTTAATTATATTTCCATCATAAATCTCAAAATGCTTGTATGAGCACCTACTGGGGTTGGGCCCATCAGTTTTTAACTTAGCCCCTATCTTCTGCCCATAGGTCTAATATATCTGTGTACCAAATTTTGTAGCAATCGGTCCAGCCATTTAAAAATACATTAAGGACAAACAGACTGACATAAATCCATTGATTTATGTATGCTACGGTGAATGATGTTAACGCGGTAAATGTTGTAAATGTAGACATTCCTTGTTTATTGACGTCAATCCCCGGTTTAGTTGGAGAATGATGTTCAATACATTCATGTCGGTTTTGAATGCTCAGTGATAAGTGTATAGGTATGTGACAAAGCATTGCTAGTTAAAAATATCATGGCGATAGATTAGCAAAAACCCAACTAGCAATAACGCTGATAACTAGGGCTCGGATTTCAATGCATTTGCATCTTTTTTTTGRGATATCTTACGCGATGCTTTCCAAACTACAAATATGTTTCAAGTACTTCGCAATCTAACCACAATAATTTTTTGGGGCATTTTTAGCGGATTTCATCATTTTTAGGGCATTTTTTGACGGTTATAATGCATTTTTTAATTTTTTAGTACATTTTTGACCTATTTGTCGTATTATGACTAAAAAAAATTGACCTCATTGAAATATAAGTACTACATAGTAATATAGTACTACGTWATAAAAATTATTTTCATTTTKAACTATTTKAACTAATTTAACATCAGGTTTTCCGGTTTTTACAACCTTTATGTCACACCATCCAATTAGCCGATATTATTGCACACAACTAAACTTTTATCGGATTATTTTCTTRTCGAGCGATAATATTATATCGGTGGTGTGCGTTTAATAAATAATGCATTTTTTGAAACGTCATTTTTTGATATTTTTAGGGCATTTTTTAGAGTTTTTAGGTCATAAATGCATTTTTTGAAAGGGCATTTTTTTGATATTTTTAGGGCATTTAAATCCTAGCCCTACTGATAACCAATAATAATGTGAAATGGTCTCTTAGTCTATTAGTAATTTAGTATCTACTCGTATATTCTAGTGAGTTGTATATGCGACAAGCGCGTATTTTATAGTTATTTGTTATAATTTGTTCTTAATTAAATTATATTTTTTATATTTATATTATTTTATTTAATTATAATATTAAAGTATGGAGAACCAAAATAAAATTATTGACAGTAAAAAGAGAGGTGACGATATATTTTATTTTAATTCTGAAGAATACAACAAGATTCAAAAAGTAAAAGATTTGAAAATTGGAACACAAAAAAACATGGTTATAAATATTAGAATTATGCATAAATATGATATTGTAACAATTGGTGGAAAAGAAAAATTAATTAAACTTATAGTTGAAAATGACTCTAACGTTTTATATTACGCCACAGTAGATAAGTTCAAGTTGTTTGAAGTAATTCACATGGCACAATTGGCAGTAGGCTATGGTGGTAGAAATAAGATGATGGCTATGTTAAAAACAAAATATTGTTATGTGACAACGGAGACAGTTATGGCATATTTAGGCTTATGTAGCTATTGTCAAGTATAACAATCAAATCCAAAAAGAGGACTTGTAACAAAACCAATTCTACATTCCGCATTCAATACAAGATTTATCATCATTTACCACCAGCTTTAGTAAATTACGTCAATGACCGGGGAAAGATGTAAATTTGAGTTTAAAATGTGTTTTTTTACAACATTTGCCTACATAATCGAATCACTTACCAATTTTCGACATTCACCATAACATAATATTAATGATAATATTTTATTTTTGAATTTTCAAACTGTGAAACTCATAACGACTGTAGCACAACAACAAATAGATATTTTTGAATATGGTTTTCAGTAATCTGCTGTAAATTTTTCTGAGTTATTGATTTATATTTTATATGTAAATATTTTAGTGATGAAATCTCAAATTGTTATGTTGATTTTTTTAAATAATTACAAGTTTCGGGAGACAGGACAACAAAATGTTCATTGAAGAGATAAATAAATTTACAATCAAATGCATTTAATACTGTTTAATTAATTACAAAAAAAAATATATATAATAATATGAGCTTTCTAGTTAACAAATTATTATGATAAAAGTAAAGAATAAAGTATAAAGTAAGTCTTTTAAAATCTAAAATATATTTATAAATAATATAGGTACATATACTATGTACCTACTACATATTATTTAATTTCTAATTATAAAATAATTCTTACAAGGTTACTTAAAATTTTTCTGTGGTTTTTTGCCTTTGGACTTTGAACTGTTATTAGTATCATGTGCTACAGTTGATCTTTTTTTTGGAACTGGCAACAGCACTTTTATATGTTCAATTATTGATTTATAAACATTATTTAATGAATCTAGTTTATTAAACAGTTTACTTGATACAAATAATTCTGGATTACAATTTTCCATTTGTACACATAAGTTATATAAAAATGATCCTTTATAAAAATGTTCAATGCGACACTGATCAAATGGGAAATCCAGTAACGAGTTGAGAATCATAAAAAAATAAACACAGCTTTGAAATTGTGCAAATGAATGAATAATTTTATAATATAAACGCTTGTTATTATAATATTGACCAATTTGAAAATAATTTGATAACAAACTCATTGCATTTATACAATCTTCTTTATTCACTTTAGTGATATTTTCTTCTATAACACTTTTGCCATTATTAACTTCAGTTTTTTTATTTTTCGGATCAATTTCAATTTTTTTTATGATATTAAGTGTTATTGCACATACAATTAAGGCGTGCATGTGACTGGATTTAATATTATTGGTGTGAACTGCCCAGTAAATTAAAATTAAAACAAATAATTCCCAATCTTTGGGAATACCATCAAGTTTTTTTATTTTAACTAAATTTAAAATTATATTTTTGCGATATACTAATTCACTCTTATTTATATCAGCTAATGGTATATATGGGTTAGTTATCCAAGGTTTTATTTTGTATTGGCCTATATTAAGTCCATTTTTTCTTCCTATAGTGAGGATTGGATCACTTTTTCCAAACAATAATCCAATTATTCTTTCCATAATTTTGAATGAAATTTCGTAATAAGGGAGTTTTTCATAATCTTCAATTTGTACTTTAAAAAATATTTTTTTTAATGTTACTATTGTCATAACTTCTGCATTTACAGTGCCCCTACGATAGTTGATTTCTAACCAAGGAGGTAGTATACTCTTTTCGTTTGATTTTAAGTGTTTTAATCGATCTTGATATGAACTCAATTTTTTGTATTGAAGAATGAATGATAAGTATTTGCTATTCATATTTTTATAGTCTTTTATGATATTGTTTATTTGATTTTTTATATAATCACTGTTTCGAGATATGTTATAAGTCATGTTTAATACTGCAGATTTTACATCATGCTGTTTTCTTAGCCATTCTGTGATTCGTTTAAGTTTCAATCCACAGTTAAAACATCCTGGGTTTATTCTTAACAGAGAAGAAAACGTATCTTGCTTTATATAATCATTACCTAATAAGGCAGCCACTAAAGGTAAATAGTCAACATTCAATCCACYAAATTCATTCAGTAATTTTTCAACTTTATATACCTGACAATTTATTTCTTTAACATTATAATCTAGATTAAGAATAATCTTGTCCAATGGTATATAAGGTACCGTATTTATGTAAAAATCTGAGTCCCGACTTATAACAGGACAATCTAATAACTTAGCCAATGCTACGATTTCTGCATCAGCTTCAAAATCGCAATTAATATGTGGTATATCCATGTCATTCAGAATGTCAAAAATTACATCACTACCAAACATTGGCATACATTCAGAAGACTTGACAGATTGTCCATATGATTGTATTCTTTGGCTCATGCGACTCATGATTGTTTCCATTTTTCGTTGTTCATATGCTCCATCAAATACAAAAATTGGAATAACATTACATCTCATAAACAATTTAATAAAATCTGTATAGACCTTTGCTAACACGTCATATTCTCCACCAAATGCACTTGTTTGATTTTCATATAACCTGTATAGGAAATTTGTTAAAGCATAACCATCTATTATTACTAGAGTGTCTTTGAGTTGTAGATTTTCAAAATATTGAGTTGAATTACGATTTATAAATGACGTTAAACCAGGAATACCCATGATAACAAAATATGAGGATTTATTACAATTCAGTAAACACTAAACATTAAAATGAACTAGGTGGTTAAGAACAAACTACTGTATAAGCGTAAACAATAATTTATATGAAGAACAACTACCGAATTAAGGAACGGCGAACACAATTACATGGCACCAAGCTATTACAATCTTAAATCTTGCTCGATGCTCGATTGCACGGTCGAATTAAAACGAGTGGAACAACAGAATGATGCCTTGACGAATGACGGAACGATAAATATTGACATTATTATTTTTTATTTCATATTTATCATTTTATTTACTTATCTAATAAGTGATAACGGTTACCCAGAATTTCGGTTATAACATCATATCAGAATAATAAAATTACGCTACATTCAATAATCTATGGTAGTCATTATTTTCACGTCCGACGTGAAAGTATTTGTTTTCACGTCCTGCTCTGTGATT